CCCCGAGCGGGGCCGTGGCGGGCAACGGAGCCAAGACAGCTCAGGGCAGCGGCCCCCGCGGCGCCCGGGCCGCCCCGGAAGTGACGTCACGCAAGCGGGGCGCAGCCGCGGCGGTGCCGGGCACGGCCAGATGTCGGCCGAAAGCAGGGGGCGTGGTCGCGCTCAGGCCCCGCCCACGGGGCGGCTCCGGCCAAGCCTCGCGCGCCGCCGGAAGAAGCTATTTTCGGCAGGTCCGTGGCGGAAGTAGGCGTCCCCCGGGCCCAGCGAGGCCGGCTGTGCGCGTGGGCGTTCGGGAGTCCCGGAGTGGCTGGCGGGACCGGGTGAGCTGGGATGTGCCTCGAGGGCGGGCAGGGGGCGAGCTGAGCGGGGGGGCCCGAAACGCCTCGTGCGGACCGTCCACCCCGCGCTCCTGTCACGTCCCTGCGCTTCCCCTCGGCGTCCTAGAAGTAACAGCCGGGGCGGCAGCTGTCGTTCTTTGTGCGCCTGCGACGTGCCAGGCCTGTGTTAGGCACTTTTCTTGCAGGACCGGTGATATAATTCTGCAGTAGCGCGGTGAGGAGCTTCGCGCCCATTTTGCAGACGCGGAAACAGACTCAGAGTGCTCTGTAAGTCAGGTCAAGAGGTCAGATAACAATGGGGCGAAACGGGGGCGGACTGATCAGCCGAGTCCAGAGCGAAGCCTCGTAACACCGAGGTCACCGTTCGGATCCCCATACCGCCCAGCCGCCAGAAAACCCCAAAACGATGGGGGGCAAAGCGGGGTGTAGAGAGAGATGTATGCGACTGTAATTAGAAGTTGGCCTTGGATGTTACTAGTGCTGTGACTGGATCCCAGTATGTGTAAGACCCTCCCAGGTCCTCCCGAGTCCAAACCAAAGCCTGATTGTGAAGGATGATCTCACGGGAATAAACCAGAAAGGCTTTATTTCCAGACAGTTTTATAACTTGCCTTGGGGTCCTGGGCTAGGAAAATAAACCAGACACAGAAAGCTGAGAGTGTGCGAAGACAGGATGCTCTGGGAGCACCTGAAACACGTTTAGAGTCTCCACCCCCATCTCGGTCCAACCTCATAGTTTGATGGTGTGTGGAACTTAACCTGCAAAGACCTGGGTTTGCTGAGACCTGGGCCAGGTGGGAGGGTATTGGAAGACAAGATTCTTTTGCTTTGTGTTTGCTTTAATTTTCCCAGCTAGTTCAGATCTAACCTGAGGAGTGCAGTATCTATCCATGCTCACTTCAGAAATGAAAATATATCAGAACAGCCAATAGCAGGTCTGTGCTTGTCCTCTTCGAAAACCAGT